AACGTCCTCGCAAAGTCCGCAGCTGCTGATGAGACGTCGCACACAGCGGCGGTTGCAGGTAGGGCCGGATTCAGTTTTCGTGGAGGGTACAGGGGGGGGGGGGGTAACCCCTCCCTGGCAGTGCCGGATGATGCGAGTGCAGGGCCTGTAGAATAATGTTATAAAAGGGGCCCTAAATAAAAATAAAAGACCCACATAAATGAAAACACCAATTTTTTACTTGCATAGTAAAGTAATTGTATTTTTTCATTTGCTACGCAGCCAGATAACGCGACAACTCGCTAACCTTAAACACCCGGTCGTTCATAAAAGTTGAAGGCGGTATAGTACTATAGTAATAGAGCAAGTGCAAAATCACTGAACCGGAATTGATAGCTTGAAAGCATTTAGCGCGGGGCCCTTGAAAGTTTGGGGCCCGTAGCTATTACAGATGTAGCTACTTTTGCTACTGGGATAATCCGGCACTGCTCCCCGGTATATTAAATGACCTTCCCAAGACTGTTGTAGGACCGGACCCGTGCCCGATGCCAATGACTCCGCTCGTTAATCACGTCGCCACCTCAATCATTGTTCGTGAACGAGATGGACGGATGCGATCGTGAGGCCAATTCGAAGTTAAGCGGGACAAAACTCACAACGCCGGCACGTGACCGCGAGTAATTGCAACATAGTAGTGCCACGGGCTTGAAATGCATAAAAAAATTACCGACACGATCTATCATAACGCGAGAGTACCGGCGTTTCATCAGCGACACCGCGATTCAACTGGGTCTGTAGCTCCGCAGTAGCGCGGGTAACTTGCAATCGGAAAGGTCGAGAGTTCAAACCGTGGTTTGGTTGTTAAATAAGCCCATCATCCTTCTGGGGAGTGGGGGGGGGGGTCGCTAAAATATTTACCATCTATTTTTACGGTCAGTCAAAAAGTAGTTTCTCCTGTGGACAGACTCGCCCCTGTTATATGAATGTGGAATGGTCATCACTGGCTTTGGACTGCAAACAAGAGTACTAGCACCGCCTCGATGTTGATTTGAGCAGGAAATCGCGGACTGTTTTTCTTACTATTATGGAGCAGTAACGACTCTCTCTGTCTCTCTATATAATTTTAATTATTTTGGTGGCTTCTCAAAAGCCGCATGCTCTGGTCGGTTGTGAGCCCCCCCCCCCTTTACACCCCTTGAGTTAATCCGGCCCTGGCTGCAGGCAAAGCCACAAGCGGCGGCAGCAGAAGAAGGGACATCGTGGGGAGGTGATAAATCAGTCGTCGGCTTCCTGTAGGTTTGCCACCTGCAGCGAGTGGCGGTCGGGGCGTTACGGAGCGTGCCCCGGATCGCAAGGGGTTGAAGCATCGAGAGGCAAGGAAGCGGCAGCAGATGGTGCAATGTACATTCGCATTACAAATCATTGGGAGGAAATTCAGTTAGGGTACAATTGACCAAATGACCAATTTGTCCAGTCTAATTGAGATACAAATTACCAATTACTTTAAGATATGTAATTTAGATATCATTTACAAGTTACAAATGTGATCAAGTCACTCATTTAAATTACATTTAATTCAAACATTGTCCATCTCTGCATTAGAGGCCAAAGGATGAAGGGTGGATGGGGGAGGGAGGGTGGCAGGGGAGAGGGGAGGGAAGGAGGGAGGAGGGAGGATGGGGAGGTAGTGGCTATAGGGTCGACACGCTCCACGTTTGGTCCTTAAGCCACTTGCTAAAAGCAGCTTATCGGTACCACCCAGGGTGCCAAATGCTACCAATGACTTTCTTGGAGAATGCTATCCCCCCCCCGAACTCGTAAATATGCATGGTAGCGAAGTCGCCGTCATAGCTTTGTATGAGAAAAAAAACATTTCAGCATGTACGAGTACCAGTGTGCTTGGGGAGATAGAGAGAGAGAGAAACAATGTGAAATAAAACATCCACGGGATATGTAAATAAATAGGAAGCGTCTAAAACAGACAGCATTGTTATCATTTTTATACGCTAGGCTTTCTGCCCATTGTGGACAGAGCCCATGGTGCACACGGGAAACATTTGCCACCCCAAGTGAAACCAAGCCCCCCAACCCTCCTACCTCCGGGTTAAATTGCCTAAGGCTACGAGCAATGTTAGCTTGGCAACACGATTCACGGGTTTTTTTTTTCTGCTGTAGAGGAGTCAAAGCAGTCAGAAGAGGCAAATTGTGCAACACGAGGCAGCGGATTGGAGCGAGAGCACACAGCCACAACGCGTGCAACGATCAGTCCCCATCCTCCCCCCCCCCTCCTCTCGCGAGTCCGTTCAATTGTGACAAATCGAGTTGGCGAAATAAGAATTGTGTTGTTGTTGTTGTGTTTTTTTAAAAGAAACAATTCCACGCACACCGAAGCGCCTCTCGTGACCACGGCGAACGCGCGAACCCATTACTCGCGCACAACTCGCTGAGAATTAGATGCGATTCGATGTATACGCGCTACCGTTTGAAGCATGCACCGTCGAGCAGAAGAGTTGTTGATTTTTTTGCGTTTTGTTTTAATCGATGGGACGAAATCGGTTTCTTCGAGGTGGGGGGTCCGCGTCAGAAACATCGAAGCGTCACTCTTTTTTTACGTGGACCGCCAAATTACCAAAGACGACGTTGCGCAACCCGAGGTCAGAGGTTTGCCCCCATTGAGTTTCTTATCGCCACCACTGTGGTACATCTTTGCGAGAGTCACCTACAGTTACCTCCACAAGTTTTTTTTTTGGGGTTAGATCGCGTAAATATATAAATGTGTCGTTAAAACCCGCCACCAGCCCGACACAGTCAACTAGGGAGGGTTGTCACGTAAACAGAACGTGCCAATTCTTCACTAGCACAGCACTAGTGTGTAGTGTATAGTGTAGTGTATAGTGTAGTACTAGTACAGCACACCGGTGTGTAGTGTATAGTGTAGTGTATAATGTAGTGTATAGTGTAGTGTATAGTGTAGTGTATAGTGTAGTGTATAGGGTGTAGTGTATAGTGTAGTATACAAGTACAGCACACTGGTGTGTAGTGTATAGTAGTGTATAGTGTAGTGTATAGTGTATTATACAGGGGTGTGGTGTATAGTGTAGTATACTAGTACAGCACACCGGTGTGTTGGAGAGCCAAGCCACAGCATTTACAATCCGAGTACGACGTTTCGCCAGTAATTACAACTAGCTTCATCAGGCGACAGCCAGATTTGTGGAGAAGCCTTCGTTCACCACATCTACGCCTCTATATAAGGAACGAAACAGTAAGACGTATCCACACATCTGACTGTCGCCTGATGGAGCTAGTTGTAATTACTGGCGAAAGGTCGTACTCAGTTTGTAAATGTTGTGGCTTGGCTCTCCAACACACCGGTTAGTGCTGTACTAGTATACTACACTATACTCCACACTATACACTACACTATACACTACACCCCTGTGTGCTGTACTAGTATACTACACCATACACTACACTATACACCAGTGTGCTGTACTTGTATACTACACTATACACTACACACTAGTGCTGTACTAGTGACGAATTGGCCACGTTCTGTTTACGTGAGAACCCTTACTAGTTGGTTGTGTCGGGTGGTGGCGGGTTTTAACGGCACATTCATATATTTACGCGATCCAACCCAAAAAAAACCTCTATTATGGATGATATTGGTCGCGAAAGCCTACTGCGTGTTAAACTACGTTGTTTAAATGTCGTGTCAATCATGACCCTCCGCACAGATCCCCGATGATTTCGAAACGCATCCCTCAAGCGATGGCGAGAACGCCAATGATTCCGATTGTGGCAATGTCTCCCTCATGTCACGATGTAACACGATTTTTGTTCCTGGGTTGTAAGTGTGTTATTTTCCAATTGCTTATGCCTCAAAAGTATAGAAAATGGCTATTATTCCCCACAAACTTTGCTTTTGTGACCAGGACTTTATATGAAGGAATGACACAAATGCACACGTTTTCTCATTGAAAATAGGTACTTTTCAAAATTATCACTGTCCTGGTCACAAAAGCAAAGTTTGTGGGGAACAATAGCCATTATCTGTACTTTCGAGGCATAAGCAATTGGAAAATGACACTTATAATTTGTTTTTGTTACACAGTAATTATGCACGCCAAAGGACAAAGTTCCCCGTATAGCCTTAGCAGACTTTAGGAGGGCAAGTGCTGTTAGCAAACACCGATGCAGGCAGGCACAGCACACGAGGGGTGTGGGTGGCCAGCATCACGTCCGGCCAGCCTCTGTCTCCGCAGTGGCGATGTTTACTACACACCGCGCACCAGGTACTCATTTGAGGCAGAGTCGACCTAGGGGAGGCGCAGGACCAGTTCAGATAATCGTCACCGCTGTTGTCAGTGAGGGGGGATTCGAACTCTGGTCGCGGGGTTCGTAGCGCAGTGTGCGCTAACCACTGCGCCACCGCTCTCTACTTGCTTACGTATTAGAGTACTTTACACACGTACACTCTCATACACAAACAAGAACCTTTATCGTAATTTCAACCAACACACCCTACGTCGAAGTGAGAGAGACACACATACACACACGTGTACACGCATACCGAATCAGAACTCTTCATATCGCGTGGCACGTGTTGAACCATCATCAGGCGCGTGCGGTGTGTAAATGTCTTCAGCTGCGTGTGTGAAATGTAATGTAAGGTCGAGCTCTTTGTCAATTCCACTGTGCTCGAAGACCTCTTGCCACGAAGGTCAGTGGGGGTGGAGGAGGAGGGAGGAGGAGGAGGGAGGAGGGAGAGGAAAGATGGATGGAGGACGAACCGCAGGTGAAGGTCGAATGACTGCTGCCGGGATGGTGGAGGAAGGGGTTGAGGAGGAGGTTTAGTGGGAAGAGGAATCGGTTGATGGCAGGGAACGTGGTGCGGGAGGAGCAGGAAGAATGGTGACGACGACGACGAGGAGGAGGAGAGAGGAGGGAGGAGGAGGGAGTGAGGAGGAGGGAGTGAGGAGGAGGAGGGAGTGAGGAGGAGGAGGGAGTGAGGAGGAGGAGGGAGTGAGGAGGAGGAGAAGAGCGTCGGGACTGGGCTCACGCCGCTCAGTTAGCGTTGTCGTCGTCCTCGCTGAGCTCTGCGTGGTCGTCGCACGCCTCCGCCAGCGCGCTCTCGTCGATGTGCTCCAGCGAGTCGCAGCGCTGCAGCGCCAGCTCGGCGAGCCGCACCGACGGGAGGTTGCTCTGCTCCGGGTAGAGCCACGGCTTGTGCTGCGGCTCGTGGCGGCGCTTCCACGCCGGGTACTTGACGCACGCCTTGTGGATCCGCTTCATTGCCTGCGCGTGGAACGGTTGGGTGGGGTAGTTGGAGGGGGGGGGGGTCATGATGGAGTTGGAGGAGGTTGGAAGCAGTGTCCGCGCAGGTAACGACACTCGGGGTAGTGAAACCGGCTGCTTGGCTCCGACGAGCCGGACGCGGTGTGGTGGGTGGCGAGCAGCGACGTCCCAGCGGCAACCTTGTCTCCTCCCCCCACTCTCGTTTTTAGAACGTACATTTCCTATTATAAAATGTATTTTTTTTTTTTACACAAAAGAATATTTAATTTGTTGAAAAATTAAAGTTAGAGCGGACACGATGGGTAAAGTTCCCTCCGAGCTGGGAGAGTGGACAGCAAGTCGCCTGCAGCCCGGGCCGGATTAACACGGGGGGGGGGGGGGGGGGGGGCTCCCTGTAGGGGCCACAGCCTCGGGCCTGAGGTTTTGAGAAACCACCACAAATACAACGAAAAGAGTCGTTACGGCTCAAAAACAGGTAAAAAAAATCAGCGATTTCCTGCTAACTTGAACATCGAGGTAGTGCTAACACTCCCGTTTCCAGTCTAAAGCCAGTGATGGCCATTCCATATTCCTATAACAGGGGCGAGTCTGTCCACAGGATGATGGGCTTATTTAACAACCAAAACGACGGGTTTGAACTCGCAACCTTTCCGATTGCGAGTCGTCCGCTCTACCGCTGAGCTACCCGGTCCGGATGAATCGCAGTGTCGTTGTTGAAACGTCCATTACTCTAGCGCTATGATGGATCCATAACCCCCAGGAGAGGAATGATGGACTTACTTAACAATAACAACAACCACAACAACGGTTCGAACTTGTCGACTGGCGCGGGCACGTTGAGATCGTGCCCTGCCGCGAATGGCACCGCCGGTCAAGATGACCCCGTGGACTTGCGGCCCGCCTGCCGGGCAGACTCGGGGGGGGGAGGACACCCAACTCACTGAAGGAGACTTCCACAGGACCCCGCGGCTACCGATTTAAAAATACAGAGAGCGAAACGCAAATAGGTGAAGTGGCGATTGCCTGGTGGCCGGTCGAACCCGGCGACACCGACTATGAATCCCGCTCACGGCCAACACGAGTGACGATTCTCTGAACTGGTCCTGGGACTCCCTTAGGTCGACTCGGCCTCAAACGGGTACCTGGTGCGGTGTGTAGTAAACGTCACCACTGGGGACAAAAAAACGCCGACGGGCGTGGTGCTGGCCACCCACCCCATCGTGCGCCACAGTGCCGGTCTTCGTAGGTGCTACTCGCTAGCAGCACTTGCCCCAACAGTCTGTTCGGCTATACGGGGAGAGGGGGGGATCTTTGTCTTTGGTGATGATACGAATGATGATTTGCAGAGTTGTAGAAAGGATTGTGGGCGGCGGGGCGGGGGGCGCCGTGTAAGGCGGAGGGACGGGGGTGTGGGGGTTAGAGGGTTGGAGGGGCACCCCTCATCGCGAGTGGGAGCCTGCGGATCGCTTCTCTGCGGATCGCTTCTCTGCGGATCACTTCTCCGTGCACCGCACGGCGCGAGCGTCACGCCAGAGCAGCGGGACAATGCTCTGCCCCCTTACACCGAGCCGGAGCCACTGAAGCCGCCGCCACCGCTCGCGAACATATATATAAAACAAAAAACTTTGGCGGCTGGCAGGTGTGAATTCATGGGGAGGATTATGACGAAACTTTTTTTTATTCATTTACACCTACGTGGCGGCGGTGCGAATAAAATGAAGAATTGTACAAGCGAACGTCGGCTCTCGTTTCGGACATGGGAAGCTAATGTTACCTTCGGAGCCAGCATCTGAGAAGCCCGGTTCACCACCCACTTCGGCAAAGAGCCTGGCGATGAGAATCAGTGTCATCGTCATCATTGTCATCATCATCATCATTGTAATCATTATTCAACCACAATAGAATGACCACCCATCACGCCAATCAGCAACATGATCATTGTCGTCGTCGTCATCATCATCACCACTGCCGCCACCATTGATCATCCCCTCCTGTACTGGGGCAGTCCGGTGCCGAGTCACGTTGTGCTGCACAGGGACAGCTGCCCCTGGGGGTGCCCTTCAAATTATTTTCAAGGAGGTGTAAGGCACTTTTAGCTTCTGAGGCATTTAAGCAAGCACAATGATTAGTCATCATCATCATAAACGTCACCATTATCACTGCCACCACCATTGTCGGTATCATGGGCATCTATGCGAGACAAACGTTTTAAAAAAACATACAATCTTTCCAGAAAAAGGTTTGGTTAAGTCACCATGGTGTGAATACACTTGTGTTCATGTAAAATATTTTACTGGTAGGAACCTCCTGGTTACACCAGCCCACAGGGGATTGTTGTGTCCGTCGTGCAGGGAGCGGCTGGGTGGGGAGGGTGGGGCTGGGTGGGGAGGGGCTGGGTGGGGAGGGGCTGATCACCCCGTTGTGCCCTTATAAAACTCAACGTTTAACCTACTCACGCCGGCTTGTGCCCGTCCTCACAGTCGGCCATATTTGCGGAATACACCACGCCGCCGTTGACCCTGGCCATTGACCGAGCAACCCAACGTTCCTACCAGCTCCCTCCGCAGGAATGTGTTTTGGGACCAAGCCAGCAGCTATCCTTATTCTTCACACGATGCAGCGTCGAGAGAGCGCCACGATGGCGAGACGTTAACTCCCTCGCCTGATATACAGGAGGTCGTAGCCTCGATCCTGACCATGATGCACGTCTATTTTTCAGTCTGCATGTTCCCCCCCCCCCCGTGGTCACGTGGATTTTTCTACGGGTCCTCCGGTTTTTTTCCCCTGCACATTTAGAATCACGCGTTTACAGTATTTGACCCGCTATAAACTTCCACACGATAAGCCACTTCTCGTTGGGCTATCATTTGTGGCCAGGTCGCTTCTGAAAAAAAGAGCTGTATAGCTCAGTGGTAAAATAAAAAATATATATATAATAGTGGTGGTGGTCCGAGCTCAAATCAACCGCCAGAGGACCCGCCTATTTCATTACTTTTTGCAAGCTAAGCAGCCTGGAGCCTGGGTCACGCTTGGGTGGGTGACCACTCAGGAGTCAGGACACCGAGCTGGCTTCAAAGCTGCACTTCAGCCACCCGTGTTTCTCAATCATAGCGAGGCGATGGCTTCAGCCCGAGCAGCAAACGAATTCCACGGGCCGGAGGGGAAACAGAGATGATGTTGCAATACCGTGCATACAAAGGACACGTCACAGCAAGAGAACGCCCTAGGGAGAATAGAATGGGGGAAGTAGTCTCGAGTCTGGACTCGATCAGGGGTGGGGTCACAGCAGTGCAGACAGAGAAATGGGGGGGCGGGGGGGGGGGCAGAAGATGACAAGGATGGACCTCCCATTGGATGAAAGTTTACGGAGGGTTTTGACAGAAGACTTTGGTTGCTGGAGTCATGACCACGTTGGGGAGAGTAGAGCGAGATGAGAGGGGAGGCATATGAGAGCTCATGTGAGGGAGTGGAAAGAGATGAGAGGTGAGATAACTCGTGGAAGGGAGTGGAGAGAGCTGAGAGGGGAGCGGTAGAAGAGCGCGCGGGAGGGAGTGGAGAAAGATGAGAGAGGAGGTAAAAGCCCGAGTCCGTGGAGGATCTTAAAGACGGCGAATGAGATCTTGCCGTTGATGATGGACTCGTTTGGAGGGATTTAGAGACATTTGAGGTATTTGGGCGATGCTGGCTCATTTACATTCCTCATTCATCGTTAGAAATTTACCAAGATTTTTTTTTTCGGCTGGCATTAACATTCCATCCGGGGGGGGGATACTTTTGCGACCATTCTGCAAATGTTGTCGCGATGACTGCATGTCGATTTATAATTGGCAAATTGCATCCCGCGTTGAAACATTTACAACCCCCAAAAAAACGCATTTAAAAGTCATCCTCGAGCCAACGACGATTTTTCAACATCCGAGGTAAGATAATGGAGGTACGCTGTGAAGTAATTAGATATTTTAAATTCAATAAATGCAGTCAAGATTTTTTTTCTCTCTTTTCCATCCGACTTTCCAAAACCAGTCGTTTTGCAATTAGCTAAATGTCTGCTTTGCATTACAAAAGCGAAACCCAATTGTGGCTTCGTTGGGTTTATCCGACAGGACTATTCACGTCCGTGGAACAACGCAAGATGAAGCCAGTTCACATTATGGGGAGGGGGGGGGGGGAAGATCCATTTAGAGACGCCCCACTGATCACCTATTCACCCCCCACCCCAGCAGGCGATTAAACTCTATGCAAAAAACGACAGCTTCCCATGCACGACAGCGAAGAGAGTCAGAACATTTGATGCGTGCATTACAGATCGGTGGGCGACACGGAGAGGGGGGGGGGGCTTCCTTTAAGTGTAACGTTGTTGCCCGTCTTTTTGCTCCCCGTTCATTTGGTGCCGTGCATCGGGCGATCCATTTAGAGACACCCCACTAATTTGCAAACTTTCTCTCTCGCTCTCTCTCTCCCTGGCTCTATATTGTTGTGCAACGTTCGGCTCCACATCTTACGGGCGATATGCGTTAACGTAAGTAATGAATGTATTAAGGTTGGTGGGAGACCCGGTGGAATACGATTTTCACCGTATTATTTTAGCGGGGTGTCTATTAAAAGGATCACCCTGTACCGGCTGCTAGAAAAACATGTTTCAACACTTCTGAAAAATTTCAACAACACCGCGAGAAATGTGCCTCCTCCGGGCTCTGGAGACCACCTGGAGAAGATTCCAGGCACGTGTTGACAATGATGGCGAATAAGTGGAGACTTTTTGTAGCTATTAACATAGATTTTGTTACAGTGTATTATGTCTTTTTTCATTAAAAACGATAGTCCCATGTAAGTGTTAACGTTATTTTGAAGCACCCTGTATTTACTTAGCCGGAGCCAAAATAATGGTTTGTGCGTACGGTGACCGTCTGGAACCTTCGCGAATAACTCTGCATGTGTGTGGGGGGTGGGGGAGGGGGTCTCTGTCACATTTGAGCATCAAAATTGATCGTGATATAATGTTTACGTGTGTAAGCTGCGCTGCAAACCTAGCCACCCGAGTTCGATTCCCCACTTTCAAGGCCAAAACCATTGACGATTATCTGAACTGGTTCTGCGCCTCCCCCGAGGTCGATTTAGCCTTAAGAGTACCCGGTGCGATGTGTAAATCTCGAGCCAATTGGGAGACAAAGGCGGCCGGGCGTGGGTGCTGGCCACCCACCCCCTCCTCGTATGCCGTTCCGACCTTCATTAGGTGCTCGCTAACGGCACTTTCCCCAACAAGTCTCGAATTGTGATTTAAGTAGAAGCTAGAGATTTTTTTTGAGCTACCGTTTGATCCAACCCTTTGTACCTCGTCATTTGGGACATGTTTAGCAATCATCGGGCTAGTGCAGTGAGTGTGCGACAAGTGTATTTATACTTAAAACTATAAAACTAAACTATATTTATTCACCAGTTAAGGCCCACTGAGCTATGTAGTGGATTATCACAATTAAGTGGATTATCACGTGGAAATTTATCGCAGCGAAATACTCCCAAACGCATGTTTCTCAATGTGAAGGGAAAAACTGGAGGACCTGGGAAAAAGATTAATGCAACTACGGAGAACGAGACATGCAAACTCCATATATACAGGCGTCAGGGTCGGGATCGAACCCAAGGCTTTCTGTATTCCAGGCAAGGTAGTTAACATCTCGCCACCACGGCACCCTCAATGTAGAAGGTTTGTAAAGACGGAGACGCTTACCACAGCGGGTTGCAAAGGGGAAGCTAACATTTGCGGAAACCCCTCCATAAATAATTGCAATCTAATTTTTTTTTTAAACCACGCACAATTTGCATAAGAGGAGCAGACACTTCATTAGCTTTCACTTAATCAAATTCCTTGCGCTGCTGATTCCTAATTGCGAGTGGGCATTATTCCCTGATTTAACATTTTAATTCCCTGTGCTCGCACAAGGAGCAGCTCTGCTCTGATCACTGGAGCTGCTCCCCATGGCTGCTGCTGCTGCTGCGTGCAAGGATGACTGCTTGATCCTACCTCCTTGCCCCCCTTACAGATACGGCACCAGGAACACGACTGCTGTTGCAAGTGGATTCTGCTGCTACTGCCTTATAAATTTGCTTTTGCCACTGCGAATTCTGGTGCTGATGTGCGTTTTGCTGCTGCTGCTGTGAATTTTGCTGTTTGCTGTGAATACTGCTGCTGCTGCAAATCATCCTGCTAGCTATTCCCCTGCTGAGTATTGTGTATTCTGCTCTGAATTATCTTGCTGTGCATTCTTCTGCTGTTGCTCGCTGTGAATGTTGCTGCTGCTGCTGCGATTTCCGTTTCTGCTGTGAATTCTGCAACTGCTGTGACTTCCCCTGCTCTGTATTCTGCTGCTAATGTTGCTGATGTTGCTGATGATGCTGCTGCTGATTGATGCTGTGCGTCGGTTTGTCTGTTACCCAAAAGCGAATATTTAGGCAACTGCTCATATTCTAGTTTGAAAACAGTTTAAATATTTCATTGTCAGGCTCCCTTGGTGTAAAATGCATCCTCCTAACTGGTACTCTCTCTCTCTCTCTCTGGCACATCTATGTACATGCTATGTAGAAGGGCCATTACCTAAAACGTCATTTACAAATATTTTTTCCTTATAAGGCCACCCACTGACGAACGTGTTCAACTGTTTCATCTGCGCTTGTGTACCACTGCCAGTACAGCGGAAGGACCACCGAGTTATTTCGCTCGGTCGCTAAGGGCTCACTCGCGATCGTCAATCCCGTGCGTGTACCGCCGTTCGATAGTTTTTCGATTCGTACAAGCCAGTGTTGTTGTTCTTCATTGCCAAAGCCACTGGCGCCCCCCCCCCCCCCCGATGGCTTTTAGTGCGGCCCCTGACGTGCAGCCCCTCGACAACACACGAATGTGAAACGCTCCACATCGTGCTGTCAATCCCAATGATTTCAAATGTGTGGCGGCCCTCACACGGATTATGTCTTATCGGCAAAAGTGCCCCCCCCCCCCCCCCCCCGTGAAAATAAGTGAACGCTGGTCGGTATAAGCGTTATAGCGGAAAGATCTTCTGCCAGCGACGGCATGGGTAGGGAATTTACAGAGCCACACCTTAACAAAAAAACTATAATTCGCCGCACTTAAAACCGGGGTTTCGCATGACCCTCTGCATCGATCCCGACCCCGACGCCTGCTGTATATTTGGAGTTTGCGTGTCTCTCTCCCCGTGGTCACGTGGATTTTTCTACAGGGTCGTCCAGTTTTTTCCCACCACGTTTAAAATGAACACGCGTTTGGAGTGTTTGGCTGCAAGACATTTCCCACGTGATGATAAGCCACTTTGTGAGAATCCATCATTTGCGATGGGCAGGTCGCTTCTGAAGAAGAGATATATATCTTCTTGGTTTTTTCGGTAAAGTCACGTAGAAGGGAAGTAATAAAATAATAATTATTTTATTAATTATTTTATTACTTCCCTTCTACGTGACTTTACCGAAAAAACCAAGAAGATGAATCCCTGCAGTCACGAAAGCTTAAAATCGAAATTTAAGAGATATATAGCTCAGTGGGCCTTACCTGGTAAAATAAAAAAGGTCATTTTTTGGAGGGGGGGGGGGGGGGGGAAGCGCTTGCATCATTTGCCACGACACAACAAACTAACCAGGCCATACCGGGGGAGGGGTGGGGGGGCGGGGGCATTGGTGTCGCGCGTACCCTTGGGGTCAAGCTGGGTCAGGTAGATGAGGGTGCAGCCGTTGTTCCCGTGAGACCGCACCAGGTAGCCTGTGAGGATGGACACCGCTCGGACAAAATCCTTCTTCGGCGGAAATTTCTGACGAGCGACAACAAAGAAAGAAAAAAAAATGAATAAGGATTCACGTTGTCGTCCGTGGAGGCCACGTGTAGCCGCACCGGTACCTAGCGCAACGGGTGCGCGGGGGGTCAGGTCAATTTGTTTCCGACGCACAAACACACAAAAAAAATCGCATTCAATCAGGAGCAGTTGCGCGAGTAGACTTGCGGAGGAAAGAAGTGAATGGGCTCATTTATTTTAACGATTAAAATCACAATGCAATATCAAGACCAGCATAAATCTATATTAAAACACAATCACAAAAACCCACACATGACCGCGGTGGGAAAAAAATACAGAGCCATCTCCGTGCCCGAGCGAGCGCGTAACGTTTTGGCGCGCGCGCGCGTGGCGCTTGCGTGCGTGCGTGCGTTCGTGCGTGTGCGCACGCACGCGTGGGAAGTGATGTCTTCAATATGTTTTGCCTTCCAGCCGTCAAGGGGTAGAGTGGAAATTGGGTAGAGGATAGCGGATAGTACACGGCAGGGGAGGGATTAATAATGCAGGCCCCCGACGAAAATCAGTTGCAGCAATGCAAAGCAACATTCTTCAAAAATTGTGTTTCCCAACTGCTGATAAGGAGGCCACGTGCTGGATTGACAAGGTGAGGAATCGTCTCCAACAACTGGACATCTGTCGGAAAGAGCTTCATAGTTCATCGGGTTCGTCCGGGATAAACGCATATTATAAACGCATATTCTTCTCGTAAACGGCCGAAGTGTGGAGGAGGCCACGAGAGGCTGCTGCAGGAGACGTGGCGAGGTCTCTTTGGGGAACTCAACTGACATAGAAGACCGTGCGAGTGCGTATTGCTCATGCTAAAACGTGTTGACGCACGTGCAACCATCTGACCATCACCTCACCACGCTGGCCAGGTGCAGGTTTTGGGGTAAACGGGGCCCAAAGGCTGGTTGGGAGAACATCACTTGCCACCGATTTTAGCCGTGGCCAGGAATCAAACTCAAGGGGCCGGATGTGTAGGGCACGTGCGCTCACAACTGCTGTGCCACTGCCCCGGCCCAACCATTGTTTTATAACATAAAAACAAAGGTCCCCCATATAGCCTTGAAACAGACTCCTGGGGCAAGGGATGTTAGCGAGTAGCACCTATGAAGGCCGGCACGGCACACGAGGGGGTGGGTGCCCAACACCACGCCCGGACGCCTTTGTCTCCCCGGGGGCGATGTTTACACACCGCACCAGGTACTCATTCGAGGCTGAGTCGACCTAGGGGAGGCCCAGAACCGGCTCAGATAATCGTCACTTGTGTTGACCGTGAGCGGAAATCGAACTCGGGTCCCTGGGTTCTTAACACAGCGTTCTAACCGCTACACCACCGCTCCCCCCACACACGCGCACAGAGAGAGAGAGATATACTGCACTTAAGCACATGCATGCATCTACATACGGATGCATTCACCACCAAATGCTTGCCATGTGATGCGATTACTCGGCAATTCGCCTCCCTTATGACTTAACAAATTGTCTGCTCTTTGCCAAGTATTCGCAAATCACATCATCATCATCACCATCAATCACCGACATTGGCAACGAATTCAATGTCGACATCTTCGTCGTCGTCGTCATCACCATCGTTATCAGAGGTCGTTAAAAACTCGCCCACTCGCCGAGTGCATTGTCACTGACTCACGATTACATAAAAAAAACCCATTTACATTTTTGCGTACATTTTTTTGTAGCGGCCTCTAGTGCCTGGAGGGGGCGGTTGTGTGTTGGGGGGAGAGGGGGGGGGTTGGGAGGGGGTGAGTTTCACAGGCTCCATCACGCACAACGCGCGCTCATCGAGAAGAAACGCCCGTGGGAGAGCCTTGCACGCCACACGGAGCTCGCGGATGGACATCGGTCGACAAGAGCTCGCACGCGGCCGTCGGGAGCGAGCCCTTGCAGCGCGCGGCCTTTTGCCGGCGCTTGCTCGAGTCCCCTTCTCGCAGAGGTGGGGGGGGGGGGGTGGAGCAGCACCGGGGTTACCGTGGCAACGCCATCCGAGCTACACCCACCCCCCTCCGGGTGGTTGCCACGACAACGGTAATATACAGATAATTGCAGCGGTGATTCAATGGGGCTGGCAAGGCGTCTCGTGGTGGCGTGCATTGATTGCGTACGCCCGCCCCACACACCCCCCACGCACACACACACACCCCCCTCTGCCCCCGCATTAAACTTCGTTTATAACACAATCAGCGCCATGAGGTTGGCCACGGTTTTAAGGGATGTCCGACCATCCAAACGTGACGTGACTTCGACAGACCGCGTGTGAGAATTTTTTTTCTTCAGACCGCTATAATGATCAATTGTAAACCCCCCTCCCCGCCCCAACCCCTAATCACCCTTCCGTACCTCCGGATGAGCACGGTTGGCTTGCATGCCGGCTTCGAAAGAAGTTCAGAATGCATGCATGGTATATAGCACGCGTACGATTTCTGTCGTGGAATTTGCGGAGCGATTTGGCACGGACGGGGGGCTTGCGACGGCCCTCGCCTCGCTAACACAAAACAACGAATACATCACTCTGCGAGCCATTCGTTGCTAAACAGTCACCCGAGCGCTTATGAACACGGCGGGGGAGTGCTTTTCCTGGGCACGGTGTAAAAGATAAACACAAAAAGCCACGAGTGGATTCAGCCCTATGCGTAATCGGTTTTATTGTGTAGCACTTTAATTGGCCTATTCGGTGTTGCATCACACAGCCGGCCAAACGTTGACTATAATTAGGTTGTTATCCATATCATCATCGTTTGGCGGCGATTTCTCGGTCCCTTTCGCAGGAGGGAGCAACACCGGGGTTACCGTGGCAACCCCATCCGCGCTACCCCCGGTTTTTGGCTCATCAAACTTTTGGCTCATCAAACTTTTTGGCTCGCCGTCAAACGAAGACGGCGGTCACCACATCGCGTGCTTCCAGTGCACTTCCGCGGCCGTCTGGAACGTCTGGAACGATCTTCAAATATTAGGTAGCCACTGAAGCTGTGCACTTTTAAATCATCGTCTAGATTGAAAACTCATTTCTTAAAAACGGCTTTTTGTGTTTAGTTCGTTGCCCTTCCCACGCACCACAGATAAGCAAGGTAGGCTACGTATGGTGCGAAAGAAGTTCAACATACATACATTGTTCATTCTCCATCTACGGCTGGATGGAATGCTCGCCGTTGACTTTTCTTCCTTTAGTTCCGTGTGGCTGTCATCTCTCTCGGCCTTACTTATTTCATTATTTCGCTGCCGTGTGTGTTTTTTTTCTTTTGCCCAATTCTTGACCCCCTGTTGACAACGACTCCCTTTTTTTGTTACGCTGCTTTGATCTGGAGCTCCTAACCCAGGGGCCGCACAGAGTCAGAAGGTGGCGCTACAGACACGCACAGAGTTAAAGCTCGTTCACTCCGTGCGTTACGCTGGACAAAGTTCCGTTGGAATTTCTGCCAGTGAATGAAAAGTCTTGGATTCTTACTAAAACAACTCACTTTACCCAAATCCTATCGTTACCACTAACCCAAAGCTCAATGATCATCGTACACCAAGACCACAGCAAAAACGAACACAACATACCCACGACGCCAAGATAACATTTAATTCAGACACTGAACAATTACTTTAACCCAGAGGATAGCAAAACCTCCAAAACGACCCGAGCACGCTGCACGTGCCTAATGATTACTAAACAATGATTCAAGTTGAGATAGAGAGCTCAATGTGTGCATCAGTGCGTGTGTGGGGAGCCGTAGTGTAACGGCTATCACGCTGCGCTACGAACCCAGGGAACCCGAGTTCGATTCACGCTCACAGTCAACACCAGTGACGATAATGTTCACTGGTCCTGTGCCTCCCCTAGGTCGACTCAGCCTCACATTAGTACCTGGTGCGGTGTGTAAACATCGCCACTGGGGAGACAAAGGCGGCCGGGCATGGTGTTGGCGACCCACCCCCTCGTGTGCCGTGCCGGCCTTCATAGGTGCTCGCTAACAGCACTTGCCCCTACAGTCTGTGAAGGCAATACGGGGGATCTTTGTGTGTGTGTGCACAGTATAGTGTACACGTGTGCTTCTCATCATGCGTTTAGCGATCATCAGGCAAGTGTAGCGTGTAAAAAAAACTTTGTTCTTGTAATTTGGTAAACTTGGCGGGTGAGGCCTGTGCTGTGAGAAAACCCACAACTAAAATACTAAAAAACTCTCTCGCCTTCACCAAAAAATCATGCGACCGCAGATCGTAACCAACATCGTAACCAACTCGCCACCCACGTACCCGAAGCGCCTAACCAATGCTTCTTTGTTTTCGCAGCACTGGGTGCAGCGTTTCCGGGAAGTAACTTTACCACGCAAACGTAACAATCGCTGCGTTGTTACGTAACGTACAGCTACGCTGCAGGCCATAACAAAGACAAAGATCCCCCCCGTATAGTCTTACAGACTGCTGGGGGCAAGTGTTGTTATCGAGTAGTACCTATGAAGGCCGGTACGGCACACGAGGGGGTGGGCGGCCAACACCACGCCCGGCCGCATTTGTCTCCCCAGTGGCGATGTTTACACACCGCACCAGGTACTCATTTGAGGCCGGGTCGATCTAGGGGAGGGCCAGGGCCGGGTCGCCGGGTTCGTAGCGCAGCACCCTAACCCACGGTTACACGGGTCACGACAAATTCCGCCCCACCCCCCTCCCCATGTAGGCACCCGTGAAACTCAAAACCATGCTCAGCCAGCCATCACCAACACCGCATAATGCACCTTCCTTTCGAATGTAAACTGCCATTGCATGCAGCACATGCCAGACGATTGCTAAACACAACGTGCCCGCGAGATGTTCAGAGCGTCGATTCGAATTAACGTGGGCACCTCGCGCACGCGTGCAATGTGCAATGTGCTTCTGTGCCCCGCATCGCAGGTTGACCAATCATCGGGCAAGTGCAGCATGTAACGTAGCGGTTCTCAACATCTCTGAGACCACCGGGTTCCTGCGGATCCCCTGCACACACCCGTAGTGGGATGTGGTGGGTGAGTCACCATCAAATTAAGAGTTACGACCGGGCCCTCATCCAGCAGTGGATGGACAGAGAGGAGGCGTGTGTGCGTGTGTGCGTGTGTGTCGTTGGATTGCATCTCGACGTGTACGTACCGGGTGCTTGACCGAGTGGTTGATGATGAGGTAATCGTTCTCCAGGGGAAGCCAGGACCTCAAGGTGACAAAGTCTCTGTTTTTCAGTGGCTTCGGGCACTTCCCTGCAATTTTTGTTTCGTTAGGGGTCAGATGGGGGGGGGGGGGGGGGGGGGGGGGTGTCAAGGGTTGGTGGGGAGATAGTTGATCAAACGTGAGACACGGGAGCAATAATAGCAATATTACTCTTCATCTTCTTGGTTCTTTCGGTAAAGTCACGTAGAAGGGAAGTAATAAAATAATAAAAATAAAACATAATAAAATAATTCTCACGATGTTTCGGCCACAAAACAAGCAGCCGTCCTCAGGTGAAGACCAGGTCTGTCGAGGCGACAGCGTCTAAATTCGACAGATCTGGTCTTCACCTGAGGACGGCTGCTTGCGTTGTGGCCGAAACGTCGTGAGAATTATTTTATTGTTTTATTTTTATTATTTTATTACTTCCCTTCTACGTGACTTTACCGAAAGAACCAAGAAGATGAATCCCTGCAGTCACGAAAGCTTTAAATAGAAATATTACTGTTGCTTTTGCTGCTGTTGATGCTCGCACGCGCGTTACGCGACCGGGAGACATTTCGCCCGCTGGAAATTCCGCATTTCTGGCGCAGGGCTGTAAACGAGGGATGGAGCCATCGCTCCCTCAAATGGGGTTTTTCTTAGCAGCAAATCACTTCCACTTTTGGGATGGGCGAGTATCGGTTTAATGTCCGAGCGTTATTATTTCTTAACGATCTTTATTAATTATGCTTTGTTGACCTAGGAAAGCTTCTCATGACTCTTTTTCAAGGAAGGCCTTGCCAAGCTTTTGTTGCAGCCAAGGGGGTTGTGATGTTTTTGCTGCGTACATTGAGTAATTTGCAGGTACATTCTTTTTATTCTTCTTTCAACATCGGGATGTTTTGGGCAATGGCAGTTACACTGCATGGCACCAGAGGTGAGATTCTAACCCTGGCCCTACCGGCACCAGGTGTGAGATTCTAACCCTGGCCCTGCTGGCACCAGGGGTGAGATTCTAACCTTGGCCCTGCCGGCACCAGAGGTGAGATTCTAACCCTGGCCCTGCTGGCACCAGAGGTGAGATTCTAACCCTGGCCCTGCTGGCACCAGTGGTTGGATTCTAACCCTGGCCCTGCTGGCACCAGTGGTTGGATTCTAACCCTGGCCCTGCTGGCACCAGTGGTTGGATTCTAACCCTGGCCCTACTGGCACCATTGGTTGGATTCTAACCCTGGCCCTGCTGGCACCAGTGGTTGGATTCTAACCCTGGCCCTGCTGGCACCAGTGGTTGGATTCTAACCCTGGCCCTGCTGGCACCAGTGGTTGGATTCTAACCCTGGCCCTGCTGGCACCAGTGGTTGGATTCTAACCCTGGCCCTACTGGCACCAGTGGTTGGATTCTAACCCTGGCCCTGCTGGCACCAGTGGTTGGATTCTAACCCTGGCCCTGCTGGCACCAGTGGTTGGATTCTAACCCTGGCCCTGCTGGCACCAGTGGTTGGATTCTAACCCTGGCCCTACTGGCACCAGTGGTTGGATTCTAACCCTGGCCCTGCTGGCACCAGTGGTTGGATTCTAACCCTGGCCCTGCTGGCACCAGTGGTTGGATTCTAACCCTGGCCCTGCTGGCACCAGTGGTTGGATTCTAACCCTGGCCCTGCTGGCACCAGTGGTTGGATTCTAACCCTGGCCCTACTGGCACCAGTGGTTGGATTCTAACCCTGGCCCTGCTGGCACCAGTGGTTGGATTCTAACCCTGGCCCTGCTGGCACCAGTGGTTGGATTCTAACCCTGGCCCTGCTGGCACCAGTGGTTGGATTCTAACCCTGGCCCTGCTGGCACCAGTGGTTGGATTCTAACTCTGGCCCTACTGGCACCAGTGGTTGGATTCTAACCCTGGCCCTACTGGCACCATTGGTTGGATTCTAATCCTGGCCCTGCTGGCACCAGTGGTTGGATTCTAATCCTGGCCCTACTGGCACCATTGGTTGGATTCTAATCCTGGCCCTGCTGGCACCATTGGTTGGATTCTAACCCTGGCCCTACTGGCACCATTGGTTGGATTCTAATCCTGGCCCTACCGGCACCAGAGGTGAGATTCTAACCCTGGCCCTACTGGCACCAGGGGTGAGATTCTAACCCTGGCCCTACTGGCACCAGAGGTGAGATTCTAACCCTGGCCCTACCGGCACCAGAGGTGAGATTCTAACCCTGGCCCTACTGGCACCAGAGGTGAGATTCTAACCCTGGCCCTGCTGGCACCAGTGGTTGGATTCTAACCCTGGCCCTGCTGGCACCAGTGGTTGGATTCTAACCCTGGCCCTGCTGGCACCAGTGGTTGGATTCTAACCCTGGCCCTACTGGCACCAGTGGTTGGATTCTAACCCTGGCCCTACCGGCACCAGAGGTGAGATTCTAACCCTGGCCCTACTGGCACCAGGGGTGAGATTCTAACCCTGGCCCTACTGGCACCAGAGGTGAGATTCTAACCCTGGCCCTACCGGCACCAGAGGTGAGATTCTAACCCTGGCCCTACTGGCACCAGAGGTGAGATTCTAACCCTGGCCCTACCGACACCAGGGGTGAGATTCTAACCCTGGCCCTGCTGGCACCATTGGTTGGATTCTAACCCTGGCCCTACTGGCACCATTGGTTGGATTCTAACCCAGGCCTTACTGGCACCAGAGGTGGAATTGGAACCCTGGATCCACTTGATGTGAAGCCACTCTGCTGCCCATGCACAAACACGCGCACGGCCAACGCATTCGCACGTCCGAGCGAACATTCGCGCAAACGTTGACATTTGCCGAAGCGCCTTGGCCATGATTGTACACCCACACACAAAGACGCCGCCCCCCCCCCCCCCCTGTACAGCCATCGCAGGCTGTTGGGGCAAGTGCTGTTTGCGAGCACCTATTAAGGCCGCCACGGCAAACTAGGGGGTGGGTGGGACCAGCAACCACGCCCGACCGCCTTTGTCTCCCCCAGTGACGACGTTTACACATCGGCCTTGGGGAGGCCCAGGACCCACAAACGCGTGCTCCATCCTCTTCCTTTATCCGGCAGTCAGCGACTCCACACATCCACACGTGGGCAGTTGTCGGCGGAGACACCCAGTCGTGCACAGTACCCGTGCTATGAAGACGAGGCTATTGCTCCAGGAACGTCGCGTTATTATTATTATCATACGCCACTTGTCTTACCAGGGCCACTCGCAGCGTTGTCATCATTTGACGAACGTGTTTGGTTTTTACTTATTTGTATTTACTTTGAATAATTTCGTGCTATTGTTTAAATGTGCTCGTGCACCAGCGGCGGAGGCAGCGGTATTATCACCAATGACATTTTCATCTCACAGGAGTCGTTGCGGTCACCCCTCCGACGCACCCCTTGCCTCCCATTTCCCTCTCCTCCCCCGATTCCCCCCCCTCCTCTCTCCGTCGTCCATCCGCTCGACTGGTGGCAACGGAGGCTTTTTGTGTGGTGTTTTTCTTTTTCTTTTCCCGACCGAGCGCCTCACTTCTCCAAGCACCGCCACGTGGCCTTGGCACCTGGGACACAAAACTCTCCGCAGCGCGGCTGAAGTTGGGGGGCGCGTGCGCGCGGGTCCTGCTCGGAGCCACGTCTCGTCGTGGCTCCGAGCCAGGAGGCTCGCGGTGGCTCCGAGCCAGCGGCCGAGACGCGAGACGACCCGGGGAGGTCCGAGACGCGAAACGATCCGGCGCTCAAATGTCAACCGACGCGCGGTTTGGCCTCAATGACACAATGCTTCGCTTGTATAAAAGTAATCGTGACGATGGTGATGATGATGATGGGAATAGTCTACAGGCATTCGTCAGCCCATTTGCTTGGCGAAGACTCCCAAGCCCCCATCCCTCACCCCCCCTCCGCCCGCACCGTGTGTGTGTGGGGGGGGATGTTTGACCATACTTCACCATTTTGGTTAGTTGGTGTTCGTGAAGAGAAGGGCACGCGGCACCTGTTTATATATTACTCATCATTGACGTTAATCGCGGCCAGGAATCGAACTCACGTCGCTGGGTTAATAATGCATTGTGTGCTAACCACTAAGCCACGGCTCCCCCTCCACACACTCCCCCGTATAGCCTTAACAGACTGTAAGGACAAGTGCTGTTAGCGAGCACCTATAAAAGGCCGGCACGGCACACGAGGGGGTGGGTGGCCAACACCACGCCCGGCCGCCTTTGTCTCCCCAGCTACTATGTTTACGCATCGCACCAGGTACTCATTTCAGGCTGAGTCGACCTAGGAGAGGCCCAAGACCGGTTCAGATAATCGTCACTGGGTGTTGGCCGTGAGCGGGAATCGAACACGGGTCACCACACACACGGACGCACAGACGCAATCTTGCATTTTCATCGCCATGGGACCTGCAAAGAGATGCAATAGGAAAAACAGAAACATCACAGGAGCAGCAGCAGTCCCTGTTCACACTCATTCGTGATGCACGCCCATCTCCTGGCTGTGCTCGTCACAAAACAAATCTCTTGGCAGCCGTTTCGCACGTGTCGCGCTCCCCAAGCCAAGAATTCATGAAAAAAAAATCACAACACGTGGTTCCGTGGCCTCGGCATATGCTGCTCTAGTGCCCTGTACGCACCAGTTACAATGTTGTGATTATGCAAGCATTTTTACGGGTATAACATTAAACATATATGATGGGGAGGGTGGGAGGGGGAGTGGTGGGGCAGTGGTTAGCACACTGCGCTAAGAACCCAGCTCTATATAACATCAGTTGCGAGCGATATCTGAACTGGTCCTGACTCCCCCTCCTCCCCCCCCCCCCCTTTACACACCTGCACTCACCAGTGTGGTGAAGTATGGTCTAACATCTTCCCTGTGACCGACACAGTGTGTGGAGTCCTTCATCCAGCAGTGGATTGACAGAGCCTGATGGGAGACTGCCCGGCACTGTCAAAGCATTGTGGCTTGTGAAGGTGGCTACGATATGGCAGGACGGCGACAAATTATTAAATCCATCTGTGTGAAGTTTTGAATGTTATCCCTCTCGTATGCGTGTCGGGTTTCTCCGGTTTCTCGCATTGATAGCTTTTTTTTTAAAGCTCCCAATGTAGCAGGGCCATCCTAACAGAAAAACATAAAACCTAAAAACATAAAGCTCCAAATTAAGATTAAACAAAAAACCACCACTCTGTGAGAGACTCGGCGAGGTTCGTTTTCTGGGCGAGTTAAATCATTGCCGCGTTTGCAAAGAGAATGCCACCCTAAGGCTTTGCTTCCGAATGTGCGAGTCGAAATCCGGTCCCGTTAGTGGTTAACGTTCACGAGGGATGGCAAGCAGCTTGGTCACGTCGTCGTAAATCAGTCGTTTGCAGAAAGCCGCCCTTGCCCATCCACTTGGGAGGGCCACCTGGTGAGAGGCCGGATGGATGCCTTCTTGCCGCTGTCAATGCAGTCCCACATTAGCAGCAGGAGGTCCCCCGAAACCACTTCACCGCTTGCAAGAGTGCAAGCGGCAGGCTGCTGCTGTTGCTGCTGTGCAGAGAACTCCCGAACGCCGGTAAACCCGTGTCAGTGAGTGTCCTCGAATTGGCTCAGGATAAAGTTATTGTAACGATGTACAAACACACACACAAACACATCCCCCCTAAAGCCTTGAACAGACCGTCAGGGCAAGTGGTGGTAGCGAGCACTTCTAAAAGACCGACACGACACACGAGGGGGTGGGTGGCCGGGCACGGCGCCTGGTAACATTTGCCTCCCCAGTGCTGATCTTTACTTGTTTATGGCAGAGTCGACCTAGGGGAACGGCCCAGGACCCATTCAAACATTTACCACGGATGCCGGGTTCGTAGCGCAGCAGTGCGTTCTACGCGACCGCACCACTGCTTCCGTAGCGGACACGCAGAGCTCACACGTGGGGCTCTCACGCAGCGCACACACACACGCAGAACACACACACGCAGGGCATACACACACACACACGCGGGGCTCACACACGCAGAACACACACACGCAGGGCACACACACACACACGCGGGGCTCACACACGCGGGGCACACACACACGCGGGGCTCACACACGCGGGGCACACACACACGCGGGGCTCACACACACGCAGGGCACACACACACGCAGGGCACACACACACGCAGGGCACACACACACGCAGGGCTCACACACAACACAGGGCACACACACAACACAGGGCACACACACGCGCGGGGCTCACACACGCGCGGGGCACACACACGAGCGGGGCACACACACGCGCGGGGCTCACACACACGCGGGGCTCACACACGCGGGGCACACACACGCGGGGCTCACACACACGGGGCACACACACACGCGGGGCTCACACACACGCGGGGCACACACACACGCGGGGCTCACACACACGCGGGGCTCACACACACGGGGCTCACACACACGGGGCACACACACACGCGGGGCTCACACACACGCGGGGCTCACACACACGCGGGGCACACACACACGCGGGGCACACACACACGCGGGGCACACACACACACGGGGCTCTCACACACACGGGGCACACACACACGGGGCTCACACACACGCGGGGCACACACACGCGGGGCTCACACACACGCGGGGCTCTCACACACGCGGGGCACACACACACGCGGGGCACACACACACGCGGGGCACACACACACACGGGGCTCTCACACACACGGGGCACACACACACGGGGCTCACACACACGCGGGGCACACACACGCGGGGCTCACACACACGGGGCTCACACACACGCGGGGCACACACACACGCGGGGCTCACACACACGCGGGGCTCTCACACACACGGGGCTCACACACACGGGGCTCACACACACGGGGCACACACACACGGGGCTCACACACACACGGGGCACACACACACACGGGGCACACACACACGGGGCACACACACACACGCGGGGCTCACACACACGGGGCTCACACACACGCGGGGCTCACACACACGCGGGGCTCACACACACGGGGCACACACACACGGGGCACACACACACGGGGCTCACACACACGCGGGGCACACACACACGCGGGGCACACACACACGCGGGGCTCACACACACGGGGCACACACACGTGGGGCTCACACACACACAGGGCACACACACACGCAGGGCTCACACACGCGGGGCTCACAGGCGTAGTATCCGACGTCGGCGTTGGCGGTGAGACGCCCGATGTCGTGCGTCTGGATGACGTTCGCGTCCCACTTGTGGCGGTAGGCGGCGTCGTGCAGCACGTCGCACATGGTGTCCGCCTGCACGTCCTTGCACACGAGGCGCATCTACGGGCGGCGGAGGGACGAGCGAGCGAGATGAGAGAGGGATGGGGGGGGGGCACCAGTTAGGACGCGCCCGGGCCTCAACCCTAACCTGGGCCATGCAGGTGCGTTCAGGCCTAGAGGTGGCGCAGAATGGGCCCCGTGAGACTCGAGAAGAGAGAGAGAGAACTACTTGGGAGGCGCGAGCAACCGCAGACGAGCGGGAATAGGGAAGCAGCCAGGCGGTGAGATGCCATATTCTCCTCCAAGCTCTGCGGCCCTCTATACATTCAGGCGTTTATCGGATGATCAAATGAGCATTTACATGTGGGAGGAAACTGGAGCACCCAGAGAAAACCCCACAGGTGCCAGGGGAAAACACTGTCCCATGCAGATGGAACAGATGGGAGTTGACATTTTGCTGTTCCACCGTCTCCTTATCCTGGCAAACCAGGGTATAGATATTGACACGTGCGTGCGTGTGTCAAGTACAATATATGATCGTCTCTTATGTGTGTCAAATAGAGTATGTATGTCATCGAGTGACACGGTGAATGATTCCCGACACTGCGATTAGATTTCACACGTGTAAATATGCGGCGCTGCAGCAATTCATTATTTTTATTTCCAGAAAATGAACAGTGCGCAATTAACACCCAGCAGATTATTTTTTTAAACTCATTTCTGAGCTATGTAGCTCTTTTTCAGAAGCGACCTGACCACAAATGATAGCTCAACAAAGTGGCTTATCACGTGGAAATGTATAGCAGCCAAATACTTTCTAAACGCGTAATGTTCATTCGAAATGTGGAGGGGGAAAAACTGGAGGACCCGGACAAAATTCCACGCAAACACCAAATATACAGGCGTCAGGCTCGGGATCGAAACCCACGACCTCCTGTTTTACCAGGCGAGGTAGTTCACATCTCGGCACTGCGGCACCCATACAGGCCACTAAACAGGTGGCATGCATCGATGTGAGCCACAACGCAAAGGCCGACCACATCGCAGTGGCCGTCAGTTCCATTACGATGAATGTAACCGCAGTTAAGGACGACGCCCAAACATTAAATAAACGCACATGAACATCTTACCCGTTATTATAGCGCCATTGTCTCCAAAATCATTTCTTGGCTCTCACAATGAAAGCCCACGAAATACCATCCGTAATGTGTTACACACATAGGTGATGTCTCACGTTCTATAGTCCAGCTAATAGTGATGACTGTTTAAGGTGCAGCCCTGCAATTGCCTGCTAATGCCAATGCTGGTGGAAGAGCCAGAGAGCGTATCTTAAAGGGTACTTGGGTATAGTCTCCCACACTCACAACCGGTCTTGGAAGAGGTGGCAGTGCAGTGCACGCACTTTACTCCTCTGTACGCGACCTGTAGATCTCAACTTTCACCATCGTTTTCAACCAGCGACCCCCCGGATTGCAAAGCGAGTGGCGACTTCCCTGCACAGTCAGATTAGGTTTAACGAATGAGAAGAGTTATTGCAACTGAACGAGATCATTACGCGACGTCTATATTAACACAAAAATCCGGTGCCCTAAACCCATTTACAAGTGGAGATAAGGGAGAATTACAATTACCTCCGAGCTGTAACAATAGCTCTTTAATATGAACCAGAAAGTGATATATTGGCAAAGCACAAATTATTGGCTCGGTGGAGTCCCAAGTTCAAATCCTGGCCGGGTTGGTGGGGGGGGGATGAATCAGCCAATCATCTCTCCGGGGTGGATAAAATAAACACCACTTTGTGGCAAGCGAAAACATTGCTTATTCTTTGGGTAATCTCAGCCCCACAATTGAAATGTTGAATTCACAAAATTTAGCCGACGGCTGGCCAAGAGCATTGCCCCGTGCTTATAGGAGCAACTTTGAATTCGACTCATTGATCGATGTTAAATTGGCTCTCATTAGAGTTGTGGTGAATTGTTAATACGAGAAGAGAGAAAATGTACGCACAGTGTAATACAACGTAGCGCAGTGTGACCAAATGATCTTCGTGACCTGCACGGCACGGGGAGGCCTTCATCCAGCAGTGGAAAAAAGTGTTACACTACATCTTCTTGGTTCTTTCGGTAAAGTCACGTAGAATGGAAGTAATAAAATAATAAATATAAAAATTATGTTTTATTTTTATTATTATTTCCATTCTACATGACTTTACCGAAAGAACCAAGAAGATGAATCCCTGCAGTCACGAAAGCTTTAAATCGAAATGTTACACTACACTCAAATAAATAAACGACATTTCACAGCCCTTTGTTAATCCACTGCTGAAGGCCTCTCCACGGAGTGTTGGTTATCGGCGTTGTTTGACCATACTTCACCTCGGTGGCCAGTGTGGGTTGGTTAAAGGGGAGAGGGGGGGGCGCAGAACAAATTCAAATATGACATCACCAATGATGACAGCGGGTGACTGGGAATCGAATTCAGGTGTGGCTGGGTTCATAGCACAACCAACCGAGTGGGATTGCCACTGCGGATGCCAACATCGGCCACCGATTTGGGAAACGTCACAGCACTACACATCTGTGAAGACCACACGTTTGGAGGAGCCTTCTACTATGGGGTGGAATGGGTTAAGCGAGGCCATCATAGGCTCTTGTTGCGTCCGTGCGTTCGATTATTGCTGCCTCTGCGTGTGTCTGATGTGGAAATCGCGATGGAGCCCGCTGCTTTAATTCCAAACTCCACCGCCTACCGCAACACACACACCGAACACAACCTCGGCGCGACACGTGAAAATGAAAGCAGCAAATCCGCTCGATACACCCGTGTGGTCTCTACCCCCGCCCCCGCCCCCCCTGTTTAAAACGTAATCATGTTTGCAATCAAGAGAGGCTGATGAATAAGCTGCGCGGCGTACACGGGCACGGCGTATCGATCGGCGCAAGAAACGTGCTTCCCCCCTCCCCCCCCCATTGCTGTATTTCGTCAGAACTGGTAGCAGCAGAAGGGTGAATGGGAATGGGAGCTCCCCCGCCATCCGTCAGAATCACAAAGGGGCTGCTCACACAAAACGTTGACTCCCCCCCTCCCCCCCCCCATACTTCACTTCAGCCTCGATGATCGCCGTAATTACCGAGCCTGTATCGCAAAGGAAAGTGTGCGCTAGTGTGGGGTTTAATCATTTCGAGTCTCGCACCCCCCCCCCCACCTCTTCCCCACCTCCCCCCACCTCCCCCCACCTCTTCCCCACCTCCTGTAGCGTGGTTATTAAGTTGGGCGAGTGTACTGGCAGTTCATATTTTTAAGTTTTTTCGGTAAAGTCACGTAGGTAAAAAAATATATATTAAAATTAACTAGCCATAGTCTCAAGCCGCACCAACCTTACCATAATAATAAAAGGGGGCCTGTCCTGGCTCACCCCCCCCCCTCAACCAGTATATATACGGGGTAGTATCTCTTGGAATCTCTCATTTACTTGATACAGCAAGCGTGCTGTGACGGTTCCACCTGAAGACGGAAGCTTGTGTTGCCTCCGAAACGTCGTGATTTTTTTTATTTTACTTTAATTAATTTAATTTTAATTTTTTTACCTACGTGACTTTACCGAAAAAACTTAAGAATATGAATGCTTGCAGTCACGAAAGCTTCAAATCTAGAATGTACTGGCAGTCTATAATGAAGACTGTAGCAATGGTCAGAATATGAATTCCTGCAGTCACGAAAGTTTTCAGGTCATAATTTTGAGACCTGCTTGTCGTCCATGGTGAGAAGAACGACAGTCGGACTTTGAAAAGACAGGTCAGTGGGATGACGGGCGGTTAAACGCCCAGGGCCCAGAAACACCGAGATGTCACCGCCGAGATCTTGGGTTCAAAAATCTCGCGTCCCAGCCGCTGCCCGTGGTGCTTAAATCTGGGTTCACGGTGCCAAGAGAGTCAGTCGATGGCTCCCAGCCAGATCACTGACGGACTGCACAAGACAGACATCGAAAGCACATTCGATTTACTCTTTGGATCTTTCGGGAAAGTGACGTATAAAGAGAAAATAATAAATTAAATACTAGCATACGACGTTTTGATTGCAACGCAAGCAATCGTCATCAGGTATAAATGATATAGAAACACAAATCTAGTATACTTAGAAATGTAATGTAATACAACAGAGAGTCGGATAACATAACAGTCAACACCCTACCTGGTTGATTACGTTCTTCCTGAGAATGCTAAATTTTAGCATGTTGCAATCGAAACGTCGTATGCTAGTATTTAATTTATTATTTTCTCTTTATACGTGACTTTACCGAAAGAACCAAAGAGTAATTCCTGCAGTCACGAAAGCTCCAAATTAAGTACACATTCAATTTGCTTTTTTTTTACACAACAGAGCAAAGTTCTACCTTTCGGAGACCTAAGATTGTTGGTTTTACATAAGGGGAACCCTTCATAGGGTTTCTCATTTACTTGATACAGCAAGCGTGCTGTGACGGTTCCACCTGAAGACGGAAGCTTGTGTTGCCTCCGAAACGTCGTGATTTTTATTTTATTTTTATTTTACTTTTATTACTTAAATTTTTTTACCTACGTGACTTTACCGGAAAAAACCCAAGAATATGAATCCTTCATAGGTTATTAAGAAGGCGTGACCCGATTGTGAATAGAGAGGCCGACTGAAGTGCCTTCAAAAGTCGTTCTCGGTGGTCACATTACGGAACCGACCTCTGCCACGAGGTGGAGCACTGGCATCTGCAAAGCTTCTGAATTGGGTACCTGTGTCTCAACATCAATAGCGCAATTTGGAATACAATTGGAAATAACACAATAAAAAAAATACATCAGTGTAATCTTCAAAAGATTAGTTGTTCCAATATCCCACGTTTCATAATCAGAGACAAACCTTATAATCCTTGAGCCAAGACTCGGTTTGTCTGCCGACAAAAAAAAAACTATCGACTGATCACAAGCCAGAGATGATGGAAGCATAATTCCTTTTTTTTTTTACCCCCCGGTAAATATTTTATGGCTGGGGCATACGTGAACATCATTATAACGAACGCCCAGGGAGTA